TCGCTTATGACTTGTGCTAAACAAATTAAATTCTTCAATAATTAATCTGTAATTCTGTAACTTAAAACACTTTTCATAAATTTGTACAGGTTATAAATATTGTTACCGTTTAACAAGACTTTAACTTCTTCTTCGGAAAATAAGAAGACTATCTAAAAAAATTCTCTCGAATTGATAAAATTGATGACAATTCATCAATTTTATGACGATTACACAAAAAACAATCACGTTCAGATATATTAAATTCTCTACCATTCAGTTTAAAAAGACCGCATCTACATTTAAAAAAAATACGCTCGATATGTGTAGAGTGTTTTCGTAATAAAAGCTATGTACCTATAATATCAAATTGCAGCTATGGGTACATGTCAAAGGATCCCAAAACTATATTTGAATGCATTATACAGTTTTTTAATGTTTTTGTTGGCGGGCCATTACTTTAAAAATCAAAAAAATTTTAAAAACATGCAAAAAAATTTTTTATCCGCATATTTTATAAGTTATCAGATAAAGTATTTAAGCCAACACGACATTATGTACCTCCAAATATTCGTATTACTTACAGTTTTCATTTTATATGTAACACTTTGTATGTTGCGATCACGAAAACAAGTTTTAGATGCATTTTTGAAGGGCTGGTACGACAAAAACCGAAATATTGATTAAGAAGAAGAAATCCGTCAAGAACAACGGAAAATTAGTCTACAAAAAATGCATGATTTTTAAATTTTATGAAAAATTTCATTCAAAAAACAATTATTTTATTTAAATGGACTTATTAATTAAATGAAGTTTCCACATTGCTGTGGAAATCTTCTCCATTCATTCCCAAAGTGTGGTTTTAGTGGGTTCAAGTCTCACACTGTGGCTTTCGATGCTTTCCACCTACTGCAATAAAACTAAAGCCATACACCAGCGCGGCTTTTGCGATCTTAGTTACTGAGTCTATAAGTAACCTGCTAATTGTGTTTGCCCAAAAACTGCACCCCCTTCATTCAAATTCCATGCAAAAATGTGGTTCGATAGTTATGGATGTAAATATGGTCTCAAATCGATTTACCAAATTTAATGAAAATTTAATAACATAAATAAAATTGTAGAAATGTTAAAGTATGAAGTAGTTAATAATAACAAGCAAATGAAATGATTTAATATAATCTGTTCCTGATAATTATTGTACTAGTTCCATAGTTTGAACAAAAATTCACATAAGATTCAGCAGTTTGGAGCTTTTTTTAGTTTTCATCCGCTTTAACTTACAAATCCATTGTAATTCAATACACATATTCCTAAATATGTGTTTAAATTATATCAATATCAAGCTTAATAAAAGAAACAATTCAATATTATATACAACGAAACGTTTTATTCGAATATTTAAATCAAACAAAGTTTTATTATTACATAAACTATATAATAAAATTTAGAGTTATATAAAAAATATAAGAAACTCCTTGGTTTTTTGAAAATATACAAAGATCAGACCAGATCAGCAAATAATAATTATTTGAATTCTTTCCAGAATATAGATTGTAAGTTGCGGTGAGCAATCTAATATATAAAAGTGTTAATTATTAAAAAAGATCTGGAGTAGCAATGAGTGGCCAACTCATGCCTGTTGTGGTCAAAAAATTTAATAGTAATAAAGTCGACAAAGTTAACGTTGGACTACTATGAAGTAAATCTCTTAAAATACAATGAAAATATGCATTTGAAAGAATCAAATTATTTCTCCACAGAATGATATATTAAAGACAAAAGTGTTAAATATCCTTGTAAACTTTTAATCAGTGTTAAATGTCACTTAACGTATATAAACATAATAGGTACGTCAATAACTTGACTTAAGTATCTCTGCACTTTCATAGTGAATAACCGCCTTTTTATATCGATTCCGACAGCACCCTTAAACTGATTTTAAAGTTTTCGAACATCTTTGCCTTTTTTTTACATTATTAATATTACATGGTAAAACTGCCTATATAAAACCTTGCAGACAAAATTCTGCAATATTGTTCGGATGGAAAATATTCCTAACAAATTTTCACATATACGCACTATGAGTTTTATCCACGTATTTTTTTTTTTTAACAAGAGATTGTAAAGCAAAGGTATCTGCAAATGAGATACTTAGCACACTAACAAATACCATTAATCCTAACGGTGGTAACCTAAAATTAAAATATATTCATGTAGGGACAAAAATATTCACTACTTTATGGTGAATATTGCCATTATTTTCATTGATACGGTAACTGTACTGTACACTAACTTCTTTAGCATTTCTGAAGCAACAAAACTGCGACAATGACAGATCTTTTGTGAAATAATCGACCCTAACCGAGCAGCAGACACTCAATACTTCAAAGAGGGATATTACCCTTAATATCATTAGTTAGAAGATACATTTGCCTCTAACTAAGTAGAGGTAGCTTTTTCCGTAGACACGCCCATCATGTTTTGATTATTACGCAGATCATGGTGATATACGTCATAGAACTTGTCTACAACTCAATATAACTCAATAACTCAATAGCTTAATAGAATTCAATCGAGTTCTTTAGCTTAGCAGTTACCCAGATTTTGTCGCCAGTAATACATTTTTTCAGTTAAGATTAATTTTTTTAATTAGTTGCTGACCACCTTATTTCACAATAAAGTAGGATTCAATGAATGTCTTGGTTGATGCGATTATTGGTGGTTCAATATATAGAATGAAAAATAATAACGAATGAAAAATTGTGTAATATATTTTCTTTTATTTATTTAATATACTTTTTTAGCGCCTATTTAAATATTCTAATAAATTTTTTTACGTAAATAACAATTTATTTGTTAACATTTCGTTCATAATATGAATAGCTAGAAAATAGTTGATACATTTTTTTGTTCACTTAAAACATTATACATATCATAAATATCATTTTCAAAACGTACTGGTATACATAATTATAAATAATTTCAACATTTTTACTTTGCTTTGCAACAATAACAACGATTTTTACAATTCGTACTTCACTTAGTCTTATAAGGTGTCTTAGAATAAAAACAAATAAGTTTGGTGTATCGATATATAGAATTCACTGAATGAAGCATACACTTATTTATTCCGCTTCAGAACATATATATATATATATATATAGTATATATTATATTTTAAAAATACGATATATATATATTAATTATTTTTATATATATAATTAAAAAAAACAATTTTTTGCTAGAGAAATGCAGTCAATTTCATCTCATTTTTTTTTTTAAATAATTAAATAAGTTTAAAATACATTGAAATAAGAAATAAATAATATTTAATATTAAGTTTCATTTAATCACTAATTATATATTGTATAATATTAAAATTTTATTAAAAATATATTTAAAAGTGGAAAAAAATATAAAATATGTGTTCTAATTAAAATGTTTTTAAACTTTTTTTAAGTTAATTAATAAATAGTTAAATATTTGTCTTTATTATATATGCCAAATGTTTGAATATATGAAAAAGGTAACGTACCAATAAACAAATGATTTCATTAAATATACATATATAAATTATATAATAGTAAATGCAAAACAATAACAAGTTTACAATATGAAATGTTTAAAAAATGTATGCAAAATTATATACAAATAGCATTAATATTCATTTATTTAGTATTTAACTAAATCTACGATAATATAAAAGTAGAAGACAAGACAGACAACAAGCAATTTAAATGATTATATAAAAATAAATCAAATCAATAAATTTGTATTTATTTTTATTTTCGTTTTTATAGCCTAAATAAATTAGTTCATAGACTCATATTAAATTTATGTGATAAATTGTTTTTCAAACAAATAACAAATACGAATGCGTTTCAATATAGTCACATTTTATTGTATGGTATTTACTAAAGATGAGTCTGATAGTAGATTATTATTAACTATAAATAAATATGATACTAAAATATTTTAAAAGATACACAAATGATTCAAACATACAAGTTTTCTAATATCTAATTAGAGGGGAAAATTATCAATAGCAATTCAAACTTTTTGAATTCTCTAATGAACAATATTATTAATAAAATAAAAAACTGTTAACAATCTTATTGTTTACCTTAAAGAGATTATTACTGTCTCTTTCCTTGGTACTTGTTATTTCTAACTGTAACCTTTAATATTAATAATTTTTCTTGTTTTGTTTTGTTTGGTTCCATTACTGATCTTAATTGGATTATTTTTTCTTTTGTCATTTATAAACAATTGACTTTATTCCACAGCTTACAGCATTTCAAGTTTTCTAGTATCTATTGATTGAGTTTGGTTCTACTGGCGTACCTCTGAAAGACAATTATATGAATTTTCTTTTTTAAATTTAACAATAAATTGACACAGTATGAGTACTGTTTTATAATAATTTTGCTACGAAACTAATTCGCTACCAGAACATCAGTCAAAACTGCAGGTTAGTGATTGGTTAAAATATTTGTATAATCAGTAGTATAATTAGAAGTAAGGAAAAGCAAAATCAATGTTTTACGCTCTCAAATCCTTTAATCTTGGACGTTATTAAACTTCAAAGATTATTTAGCTTTAATTTGCCAAAATAGTTGACAATTGCAGAACACGATCAGTGGCTCGTTTATGTTCGAGTTAAACTCGAACGATTTCTTTCGAAAAGTTCTCACTTGCTTTTTGTCACTTCTTTCGAGTTTTCTGTTTATATAACATGAAAAATTCACCACACGAGAACGTTATGGTGTGATGAGAGAAACTAAACATGGAACATTTTTTGAAAAAATGGAACGAAAATGAAACAATTTTAAAAGGTTGCTTAGTGTTTGCGGTAAGATATTCAATATTATTTGAAAATCATGAATAAATCACAAATGAAATTTACTTATCAATATTAATAATAATAATATATTTAATATTATATATACATATGTGTAAATATATGAGTACTTACATTACTCATTATGATTATATCAATAAATATTTTATTTAAAGAAATCAAATGTTCTCACTATCACTTTGTATAACTTTAAATTCAATATTCAAAATTCAAAACTTCTCACAAGCAATTTGACAGGTGACAAAAACTCGAACGAAAAAAAGTGAGAAAACAATTCACCACAGTTACATAATCACTTCTAGTGAGTAATTGTCAAAAGTGAGAAAATCGTTCGAGAAAACGAAGTGAGAAAGTTACATAAACGAGCCACAGGAAAAAAGAAAATACCAAAGTTTCTCCACCTGGACCAAAGTTATATTCAACAATTCTTACCTCCATCCTTATCCCACCTAACCACCGCTTATCACTTCCCTTTCTTAACATCCCTTATCCCTTTTTCGGGAGGTGATTTATGCAAGTTTTGATATTCTTATCTGTACTTACTTTCTGGATTCTAGGGTTACTAAAACATCAACAACAGCAGCGGAGTTGCATAGACGTTTCACTTTACATTTCACAAAATTGGCAGTGTCTGTCATTCATTAATTCCATCATTAAAAAAAATGATCTTAAATATAAGTATGTCTAATTAAAAAATTAGTATTTTATCAAAGTTTTTATTTATTTAGACTAAGAAACTTGTTAAGATTTAAGAGGTTTCCAATTTGATAATGATGTGTAGTTCTTGGTCACCCGTAAGAGGAGATATCAAACATATTTATTGATAATTAATTAGATCAAATAAATATAGATTAACAAGTATTTTAAATGTTTACTCAAATTGTTAGAGATGTAACGTTAAGTTTTAAAATTACATATAAAAACAACGTATTTAACTGAATTTAACTTAATACATTATATAGACAGATAGACATACACACATATATATATATTTGTTATTAAGGCAACAACAGCTGTACTTATTTACAACTACACATTTAATGAGGAAAAGCGTTTGTGAGGTTCTAAGAAAAAATAGTCACAACATAAAATCTTTAAAATATATTCTTGCATGTATAAGTTACTGGTTAATGAAAAGAAGATACATGCTGCTGCTTCAGAAAAGAATGCAAAATGTGATAATTTTTTTTTATAAAAATTAAATCAAATATTCTTTTAAATGAAAAACAATAAAAATAGTTGCGTGAATACCAGCATCAGACAAGTTCCACAAGGGATAAGGTGCAAATAGGAAACACTCAGCTTCTTATCGAGTTGAATAAAGTTGTACTCACAACTCACTAACTATTTCCTGAGCCTAATAAAAAAAGTATAATTGAAAGAATATGTAGTACTTTTCATTCACGATATATAAAATAAATAAATTATTTTTAAAAAATAATGAGTGTCGAAATACTGTTGACAAGCTTAACCTAGTCAACATTAAATAAGTATGGTAAAATATTTATAAATTTACAGCATTATATTTGAATTGAAAAATTGCTGCAGCTAATCAATAATAACAACAACAAGATGGAATATTATAGAAGCATACCTAGTTTATCTTTGATAACAAATATAATTAAGTAACGCAAAAATAATTTCTAAATAGTTTTTTCATTCTAAAACTAGATTCTATTGTACTAAATATAACTTCCCATTATGAATATTATTGAAAGTGTTCGGATACGCAAATATATATATATATATATATATTTCAGCGATGTATTCTTGAAATTATTTGCACTGTAGAAGATTTCTCAAGCGTTATAAATTACCTGTTCCGTTTATAATTTAAAATACTTGAAAAAGTTCTTTGTGATTCGCATTAGTCCCGCTAGAAGGTTAGTGGAATCTACAAAAATAAAAATCTATTAAGTCATATTATATTATGTCTATTTTATAATGAAAATATATTAAAAGAAAAACCTAAATAATCTTTTAAAAATGAAACACTGAGCCAAATTTAAGTTTATACTAAGTAAGTCCATTTACAATTGATGCTACTTTTATTGCTGCTATTATTTTTTTGTGCTTTTAGCATTTGAGAATTTGGGTTTAACTTTTAAGGTTAAATATTTCTCCTCAAACATTAATATGAAAAAACTTAACTTACTTCACTCTTCTTTACTTGAAAGCACGTAATTTGTGTGTAATCTGCTTTTTTCAGAGACAATATGGTGATTTCAGTCTTAGTTTTAATAAAACTATATTTTATTTAAAGATTACTTGATAAGACCTAATATAATATGTATTCACTTTCTCTATGTTCCTTCTCTATCAGTTCGTTGTTACTTTATATGTTCTTAAGTTCTTTTTCCTGTTCTTTTAGGGAGGGTTATCTACCTGGGCTTTTCATTAATGGGATTAATTCTATTGTTTTCTTAAGTACTTACATTTTTATAATTGTACCATAACTGATTCATCATAACTATCATAATTCTTTCATAACCATTTACTACTTACATACAGTTAAATACATTAAATAATATATAAATATTAATGAAAATTCCTTATCATAGTAAGTAAAGCGGTATTCATCAGAGAACTGTAATGACTCATAATTTTAACACTCAGTGTGCGTTCATAAAAAACCAAATCTAAATGCGTATAAATGTTTTTCTCACACACTATTTATATGTATTCATATTCACCACAGAAATGATTCATAATTATGTTCGTTAATGAATGCCGATGCTAATGAATCAGCTTCACAAGAATACGGATAACTCATGAATCATACCATATACTCAGATGAGTATGAATGACTCGATCACTTGTAGCATTCGTAAGAACTCTGTTTGAGCGCTGTTTGCTAAGCAAAAAATATTTGTCTAGTTTAATAATTTTGATTTGTGTTCTTGTTGTTCGCGATGTAAATGCATATGTTTCGTTTGTATTCTTGATTATTTTATGTGTTTAAAATTGGGCGGTGTTTTAGTAGCAAATGATAGCCACAGTAAACAACAACAAGCAAATTTTTTTGCGACTGTGACGCAAATAAATCATTTGCATCACTTTTGTGTCGATTATCGGTGTTCATGTGTATCATATGAGCAGAGTATAAATTATTATAAGTGCTGTCAGCTGTATGTATGAATCAGATGAAGTTGAATATACGAAAAAGATAGTCAGAATGCATAAAAATGAAACAAAGTCAATGATTCGAGTATAATTCAAGTGATGAGTACTCATTGCAGCTTTCTGGTATTCACACTGTTCATGTTTTCAGTGGTCTTGTGTATTGTTTTTGAAACACGTGTTCACACTGCTATTTCTTGTTATTAATTTATATTATTTTAAAAACAAACGCTTTTGCTATAAACAGTAATAAATCATGATTGAGACGGTATTCCACATATACACAATCTGAAATGCTTTCATTCCATTTTTATGAAAAAATGTTTTTTTCAAAACGTTTACGGCTCGAAAATAAAATTTGAAAACGTAAATATTGTGAATAAGTTACAATAACTATAAGTTACAATACTAACTTGGCAAAATAATTAAACATTAATTTTTATTAATTATATAGAACTAATATAAACTGAAGTTAATTTGATAATTATTCTTCTATCTTTCTGTCTAAATATAAAAATAAAGAAGAAAACACAGAAATAATTAATCCATGAAACAAAATTTGCAATATCGAATTGTGAAATTTGCCAAGTGAGTATTCTAATTTATTTATTTCACTCACACAATTTTTCTCACTTTCATTTCACACACACAATTCACTTCACTTAATTTCATTATAATATTGTATATAATATATAAAAAAACTTATTTCTTCAACTACACACACACACACACACACACACACACTATGCGAAATATTCTTTTTCCAAACTTTTCTCCTATTTCTACTTATTTTTAAGTTCGTTACTTTTACTATTCTATTATGTCTACATTGTTCATAATTCGTTTCTCTGAAAAGGTAGAAGCCCTTTTTAAAAAACTTTACGGAATATTTTGTTAAAGCTACGACTTTTCTTTTTCGAAGATGATGATGATGAACTACGATTGCTATCACCACTACTGCCACTATGGCCATTACCATTTGTTACTACAGCATTACATTCACCTGATGTTAAAATAGCTTCCTCTAAGATGCGAAAAGAGTTCGTTGTGAAATTTGTTGGAAAATTGATTTCGGATAATGAGGTCGAATCAACACTTGCAGCTTTATCGTTACCTACGATTTGAGTTTCATGCTTTAAGCTATTATTTGAAGTTGAAGTTGACATGTGTTGCTTTGGTATTTTATGTTGTTCGGATTTTCGTAAACGATGCCATTCCCAGGATGTAGACTCGTGTGGTGGATTTTGTTTGGTGACTTTTATTTTACCATTTTTACTGAAAGCTGATTTAAAGAACGCAGGTGATGTAATACGTTTTGCCTTTTTAGTATTTGCTCCAGTAACAGCGGTTATCATTCCTGCACCAGCAGTTTTAGAAGTGGGATCAGTCTTTATGTTTTCATTTGTTATTATTTGACAACCTGATGGGCCTTCTGGCATAAATTCGTTATAGACCATGTCTGAATTCGGTATAAAGTTGTCTAGACCATCATCGTCAAGCAATAAGCTTTCATTATAATCAGATGTTTCTAATAACCGTTTATTGGGTACACTGCGATTTAAGTATGGCTCAGTAAAAGTTATGAGTTCGGATGGTGCAGATTCTTGTCGTTTTAGCTGTTGTGCGCGTTTTTTTGATTTCGATTTTGGTCCATCTAATTGGACAAAGTTTTGATACTTTGATTTTGCTTGTCCATTTATGCGCTGTCGTACATGCTTATCTAAAAAATATGTCATTTTGAAATTAAAATAATTGAAACCGTAATACTTAATAAAAATATTTACCTTCAGTTACGAATTTATCATAACATTCTATATCAGTGTCAATGAAACCTAAATCTTCTACATGCTGCAGCATATTTAGATGTGGTGCTTTTTCAGTACTGCACCTATTTGTTATGATGTGTGTACTCTTTGCGGAATCATAACAAACCGAGAACTTACGTTGGCGGGAATTATTTTTATTCATATTCTCATTTAAGTTTATTTTATTTCCTTTATAAAAATCGTTAATAAGTTCAGTGGAATCACTGGCGCTAGCTGAATAATGATTTAAGATAAGCGCACATTCTTCACTGGGTCGACGCAACTTTTCGGCACATTGGCTTTGTGCTTGAGTGGATACTTCAAATGACTTTCGTCGTTTAGGCAATTTTAGGCTTTCATTAGATACATTGTTTTTGTTATTCTTGTTGCTGTCGATAATGAAATTTTTAAAGATGCTTCTTTGTACCGTTCGAAGATTCATTATACCCACCAGAAGCAGCACCAGCACTAATGCACCTAAACACGTAGTGATCATTCTATAAATATGAAGTTCTAGCGTTACATTATCTAAATCGACACTTAATTGTTCAATTTTTTCTGCAAACTTTTCTTCCACTTGCCGATGACGACGAGTATGTTCTTCTAGCAAGCGAACTGTCTGTGTAGTTTGTGTTACCATTAACTGCAGTTCTTCAACTTGCTTATTATAGACGCGTGACAGCTCTTCCAAATATAATGCTGAAAGTGACATATTACGTTCTAAGACCTGTGTATTATAACAAAAAAAGCTTATTATTGCACTATATCAAACGTAGTAGGATAGAAATACAATATGTGTGTTTGGAAAGCGAATGAAATAATTACTAAACACTTGTAGTTTTGTTTATGTCAGCCAACTCTTTCCGTCTAGTGGTACGGAGGTGTATTTTGTGAAACTAAAACACTGAAATCAATGTACAGTGACACAATTTGGTACGAAAAACCACCGAACCAATTGAAGAGGTAAAGAACTAAACCGATATTTGGCACATTTAATTTATAAAATAATATTTAAATCAGTGGAAAAAATATATTAGGCTTAAAACATCTGAAAAAAAGAAGTGCCAAAGTCAGGAGAATTTCTGTGGAATACACTTGCTAGAGTGCATCGGTACTTATAACGCGCTTAACTACTAGTATCAATAAGTAAATATAGTATTTACAGTAAGTAATAAATATAAACTACAAAATCATGGCCCAATTTTAACGACCTAAGCCAATTCAAAGGAATTGAAGTTATATTAATTATACTACATGCGTATGTAGTTTGTAAGGCTTTACCAAATGCTATGCAGCCGGAGAATAGGGCTGATCTTACTATTTGTTTACTAATGGGCAGTTAATTTTTGATATTGTCATTAAAATATTAAAAATTCAGACACAAGATTTATAAGTTGTTTTTAAAGCTCTGTGTTATTATCTAAATAGTAACTTCTCTAACATATAGTTTTATCTAGAAAATTTGTGAAGCTAGATAATGCTAAGGACAGGTATGCAATCAAATATTCTAATAATTCAATGTTTATTTAAAATGAAATTCAAGCTCTCATTTTAAATCATTCGATTTCTAAAACCATTTTGAAGATAAGGAAAGATGGTTATTTAGTAATAAAAAAATGGAAGTTAAAATTTTAAAATATTACGACTGAAATATATATTTTGTAAAATCAACTTTTTATTTTTACCTACATAATTACAGTTTTGATCCACCGTTCAAAAGGACCTTATTTCTTTCAAACAGTTTTATTAAAAAGCAAAAATATTCGCGTTAAACATCAAACATGGAACAGCTGAAAATTTAGTTGCAAAATCAAAACTGTTTCAATGTCGCGGAAGGAAGGACGGAATTGAAATGAGTAAAAACACGCAAATTTGCTATTAAAACTCACCTTAAATGTGGAAGGTAAACTTCAACTTTGCACGAACGTACAAAGGCAGTGTTGGGGGTGTAAGTAAGTAAAGTAACTAGCATAGCATACCCATTTAAAATGAATAACATTAGATATTTGTCTACTCTGCCTAATGCAATGCAAATGTGGAGAATAACATGAGGGTTTGGTTACAGTATAACCATTATAACCATGAAAAGTATGTCAAGTAATAAACGAAGATTCTAGAGAAGTTTATAATAAAAATGACGTTTTAAGTACGCAAAAAGAAAAAACAAAATAATTAATTTTTGAATTGTAATTGTAGACTAAATGGGTTGAAGTACTTCAAAATTCAGATATATCCACTATATGAATGCGCACCATAATCAGATGTAATAAAAATATATGATCAAATATATATCAGGTTTTGATGGGTGTCGAGATTGAGATCGGTATTCACAAACTCAAATCATCATCATCATCATTAAATCTACATGTATATTCTTATGTACATGTAAATTATTGATTGGGAGTTATGAATATTGGAGCTAGTATCTGCAAGCTCTAGAAAGAGGAAAGAGTATTTTCTAGATGACCTTAACAGTAGATTCCATATAATTTTTACCCATTTATTTGTAATAGTTTGACTACCCAATGACTACCCAATTTTTATAACGATTTTGTTTTTGATGTAACAGATGAATGGATGGATAAAGATGAGTTTAGTCCAAGCAAACAGACTTGTTTTCTAACAATTAATACTATTTGCAGTAAAATTTGAAAAAATGAGCAAACATATTATGTTGTAGAATTTTTCATTTTGATTTAGAGATCTTTTGCTGGGTGCATGGTCACACAGGAATCAATGGTAATGAGTCTGCGGACAAACTTGCGTGGGCAGGATCAGCCATTCAACTCTGTGGATCGGCACCATATTGCGAATTAAGTTGGTCCACACTAGGTCTTTCATTGAAAAATGGTTTTCAACCGAAAGAAGACGCTACTGGCGCGACATTTCAGGTAGCCGTCAGGCTAAAGAACTGATTTGTCCTTACAGTTACGGTAAGGTGTCCTTCTTCAGCAGAACAGAGTTTAGATTGCTGGCGGTCTGTCCAAAGAGATAGATTGTCGACTCTATTTAGAAGCAGACGAGACTTCCAGTCACATTCTCAGTGACTATTCAGCCTTGATCTGGAATCCGGAAGAGGTCACGGTTAGCGACTACAACAGCGCAAAAGATCAACTATGGTCGCAGTGCTCCGCTCCGTTAGGAGACGGTACCCTGTTTATTTCTATTCTATTCTAAAGATCTATTGTAGTTCATATAGTCTGGTTATTTGAATTTTAGATTTATTTGCAACATACCTAAAAACACTATCTAATTCTTACAGAATAAATTTGTAACAATGCCTGAGACGCTTTGTAGATAATTAAATGCTTAGTTTTTACCAGATAATTATAAACTAAGATAATCCCTTAGTTTTTATTACATAATTTACTAAATTGAAAATCTTTTTGAATTTCTTTCTGTAAACATATATATGTAAAACTAATAGCGTATGTTTCACCACAAATTGTTGTTGCAATAAACAGCAAATACTCAGCAGTTAAGTAGAAGAAATTGTAATATAAAAGTTGTATATTTAGATTGAAGAGTCAAGGAAAAGAAATCTAACCTGCGTAGCAAGACTAATTGTATGTAACAATTAAACAGGTAAATAGCGATATTTAAATGAGTAGAGTACTTTTAGACAGTGAATAAAATTAAAAAGGAACTATCGTAGTGTACTTCTTATGACCGAAACACTTCAAAAAATGTTTAATGATCTCGTTAGTGATCTTTTCACGAAGGTGTAGTGTATTTTAATGTATTTAGTGTATATTGAACAATATTTATTTAGGTTGTGGTTATAGGAGTTAGATTACACTGATTGAATCTCATAACTATAATTACTTTCATATTACATATTGTTCTTTCAAGTTACAATACATTATAAACAACAGTTTCGCATACAAACTGTTTAAGGTATGAAAAATGTAAAGGTCAACTGGCTATTGAAATCTTTGGTAAGAAAAAGTGCGGCATTAGTTACATTTGCTCATTATTTGAATTGTTAAACCGCTGTGTGGGAACACAAAGACACAAGAATTATTTAATCCTAGTAATAAATGCAGTTATAATTAATATGTTTGGTTTATTTTACCTTAATACGATTTGAAAGTCTGCTAAAAATACTCTCTGATTGCGCAGAACTGGATAGTTTTTGATTAGCGCTGTTTGCATTGTTTACGCTGTTCTTATTTCCATTTTGTGTATGAACATTGCCTTGAATATTTGGTGCAACAGTTGATGTTAATATGTTTTCGATATTCTCACAGTCATTACTCACAACTTCTTCATTTTTATTTGTACCAGTATTATTATTGGTTCCAATAGAAGAAGTTGTTGCGGTGTCTATATTTAAATTTGTTGGTGTAGTCTGCTGTATTTCACTTGTGTGCACTGGAACTGAATCTTTAGTTTGCGCAGCATTTGTTGTGGTCTGCTGTACAGGTGATGAAGTTACTGTTTCTGTTAAAGTAGGTTCAGTTGTTGTTACCTTGGTTATTAATTCCTCTGTGTGGTTATTAAAGCTAGGTACCGTGTTATCCTTTTCTTCTTCAGTAGTTACTTTTTCTGTGGATTGTGTGTTAAATATATTTACATCTTCTGCAGAATTATTGGTCGCACTCGGAGCAGCTGTTGTAGTTTCTTCATCGTTTACTGATTTTGGTGGTTTTTGTAATTGTCCACTTTCCGTAGAAGTGCTTGGAGTACTGATTGAAGGTTGCTGATTTGATAAATTCTCCTGTAAATCTTCCTTATCGTAATTGCTTGTAAATTTGTCTTTATTGTTTAATATATTTTTCTCCGGCTTTTCAATATATTCAAAATCTCTTTCTCGTAACTCTTTCTCTATGGTTAAATTAAGTGGTAAGTCCGTGTTATCATCGTCATGATCCAAACCCTCCATTGAAGAATTTTCTGATTTCGTTTGTATATACTGTTGCATATAAAGAAAACACAATGCACCTATATAATCAGTGGGCAATAATGTTAAATAATAACTTTGTTTTATATCAATTTCTGTAATTTCTTTATATGGATTGAGTACGCAGCTATGAGCGGGAGTACTTGTTTGGAAACCGTACTGTTTGGCGCACACTTTCGAATTTATTAAATCATTTCGCAGTTTTCGTTTATTGAGCAAACCACTTAATTGCATCGGTTCACAGGACAAAGCAATATTAATTCGTTCAACGAGTGTGGAATTACATTCAGCACAGCTGAATAGCTTTTGTACGTCGGTTTCGCAAAGTCGCTTTACCCTTCTGGATCGATAGTGGTTACTTACAGGTTTTACTAGTACTTCAGCAGCTCTTTTTACTATTGATATTACTGCATCAGATGCAGATTTAAATATACTTAAATCACCATAGCCGCTTCCCTCAATTTTTCTTTCATCTTTCCTATCATTTGCACTATCATTTACAATTTCATTTAACACTCCCCCACCATGATCAGTTATTACATCATCATCAAAATCATCATCACCTGGCGAATTTTCTGTTTCAAATGCTTCAAATTCTGACGTACCATAAAGACGAAAAAGAGAGACGGGACAAAAGTGTTCATTCGAATAATGTGAATGAATATCAACTCGCACAAATTTACCAAAAAGATACGGATGCAAATCAAAGCTTTGAAGCGTACGTTTATCCTGCGCAGCAAAACGTCCAACATTTGACCAACCTCGTGTTGGAAATCGAGTTGATACCGCAACTGAAAAGTTTTTTGGTGATGAAGAGAATAGCTCAAAATTTGCCATTTCAATTTTTTGTGCTTGTACTGCTTCGCATAATTCCACAACAAACCATATTCGACTACCGCAAGGACTTAACATATACTCATCCTTAGATGAGCTAAGAACAGCACCGGTATGACTTGCTTCAATATTTGCCGCAAGAATCTTAGCACCACAATCCGGTGAAGCATAGTTCTTGGAACGTAATTTAAGTTGAGGTAATTTTTTGCTACTTTTTGTTTTGTTTTTTTTTTGATCAGTTGTTATGTTGACTTCTTGTTCTATTTTTTTCTGTGCCCATTCAGAAAATACAGGTATAGGTACTTCTTCTACTGTCACATTTACTGAAGATGTTAAATTTATATTGTATCCACTACCATTGTTCGTGGTTTCTTCTAACTCGAAATCTTCAAATTCTTCTTCACCATTAATAATATCACCCATTTCATCTGCGCCTTCAAACTCATTTTCACTTGGAATGTTTTTATCGATTGTTAATGGAATTTCATTTGTTGGCGGCAAGGAATCTGAACCTCCACCAGAATCGTTAATTTTTATTATTTGCTCATCTGAAAAATTTATGTTATTTTGAATTTGGAAGAATTTTCTTCAGCTATAACATACCTGCATGCAGTAAATTTTTTTTTTCAACGGTATCGGCCGTTTGATTTTCCTGAGCCTGTGTTATATCATTTGAGGTATCTAAAATTATGGCTTCTACGTTTGCACGCGTTGGCTCGAGAACTTCCAGTGGCAATTCAGTCACTGTAACTGCAGGAATTTCCGTGATATCCGGCAAGCTAAAAGTAAAAATGTCAAGGAAAATTAAGATTAGTTTGATTAACAAATATATATATATTTACAGTAATCATGAAATATATAATAAAATAAAACTCTATAAATTTTTTTAATAAATGTATAACTTATGAACATATATTAATGCAGTTAACCTCGTAAAAGCTTAAAAATGTAAAACTTTATTAATAAGTATCTCGTTATAAGACTTTGAATTTACAACTTGAAATAATATTTTTAGCTTACTCAATTATACAACACTTGTGCTATTGAGAACGAAGAAGGGAAGACACATTTGCTGAATGTCTGCTTAACTTCTAATCTTATGAATCAGAATGTCTTCACTTAGTTATTTACTTATGAATGTTTTTAACAATATATAACATAGTATTTACATAGTACATAGTATATTTCCACTATAATGAGCTATTTAGAACTTCATCTCAACGTGTACCCTAAACGTGGTTAAGTTGCATTTAAAACTTAAAAAATTATTTTAATACTCAAGTTTTATCACTTGTTAAAAATGTTTAGATCTTGGATGAGATGTGTTGTCACATCTATTACAATCAGGATTCCATTTATTTCACTTTCTTTCGTGGTATAACAGTCAAGTCTGTAATACTGTAGTTACCGTGATTTAGTCAAGATTGTAAATCAATACGTTCCTTATTCATTTTCCGCCAATAAGAGGGATTCTGAGTGAAAGATGAGTGAGGTATTATGAAATACATTAAAGCGGGCAATATATCATTAATTGATGTTTGTTTTTTTTTTATATTAATAAGTGACGTAGAAGAAATACGTCACGACATTTTTGACAACCCCATATTATTATTTGCAAATATATATTTTCATATGTTTGACACACTATGTACTATAATCATGATATTAAAAGGGGTGTTGGACTGATTAAGTCACAAAAAGTGTGAACTTACATATTAAACTTACATATTAAAATTTCATTTTTGTTATTTGTATTTATAGTAAGAATAATAATTATTATAACAATTATTAAATAGAAATACACAAATTTCATGATAATTTTGGCATGAAATTTTTGCAACAAAAAAATTTTGTGTTGTCAATTTCATTGCTGAAACATATATGCAGATTTTAAAAATAATACAAAATTACCTCATAAACATTGTGGAAATCGCAATTATTTGGGAAAACCAAATTATCCAAAAGAATATCAGAAACATAGTCAGGTTTTTTTTGAGTTTCTTGAATTCGCTGTAAATGAAATTCATAAAAATCTGCAGCAACATTTGTAGAATTGTTTTGTTTTTAATTTTATAAAAATATTTGATTCTGTAAAAACACGCACAATAAATAAACATATACATATGTAAGCGTAAAATTAAGTTCAAAAAATAATTAAATTTTTATTAAGTAGAATTTAAAGTAGGAAGATACACGCGTCTTTATTCAAACACACACGCCCGCTATCGTCTGACCAATCGATAATTTATTTGTTAGTTCCAAAAACGAGATACATTTGACTTAAATAAATTTAATTTATAACACCAAAACCCCTAAACCGCCTAAAGCGCCTAAAACGCCTGAACCGCCTGAACCGCCTGAACCGCCTAAAGCACCAAATGGAGACGAATATTCGTTAAATAATGCGAATTAGTTGCAATTCTCCTGTGAAGATAAATTTTGGAAAACGATTTAACTATAATTAAAAATCACTGTACAAAAACGGTACTAACAACAACAAAAGGACAGACAAAACAATAATACGTATAAGAGTCGAATGTCTGAAATATATACAACACAAAATAAATATTGTTAAGATAAATTTTTAAATTTAAATAAGTGCAAAAAGAAATAAAATTGCATGGTAAATAATATTAAAAAAAAACATACTATATATTTACATATATTAACAAAATGGATATACGCGGTACGTATCATAAGTTATTTAAATTCAAAAATTGCTTTGATCTTATTCCTCGATCAATTGAAATTTCAGTCAGTTTGTTAAAATAAAAATGTTACTCATAATGAGAAACTGCTTCGGAAGAGTCCTTTGATCGAAATTTAAAGCAGCGATTAAAAAAGACCTGTTCACACGACGTTTAGGTTCTTAATTGTATTCTTGATATTTCTTATTTAAATTGTTGGAATACGATTGCATATAACAATTCGATAAAAAAAAATGACAATTGGATCTTAATTTGCACAAAATCAGGTCGAAATTAGGATCCTTATTCACAAATGTAGAATTGCATAGCTTTATTGCGATTTATTCTTGAAAACAAAAGAAACTTTTTGCAAAACGAAACCAATAAAAATTGTGAACAAGTTTTTAGCGAAATGTATAGCGGAGATGAAATATATTTAACAGATTTAATTCGTTATCAAGTTATTTATTTATTAAATTTATATAACAAAAGATGTATTTGGGTGTACGATTTTTATTCTTCAAGGTATAAAAATGGAGAGTTCCACAAACAAAGAAATTAACAAATCACAATTAATTTCCTAAAAGTAGTATATGTTTTTAAATTTATTTCCATTTATAAACTTAAAATAACGTAAATATAACACAGACCTTTCAATTTTACTATTCTTAAGATCTTCGATTTAACACGAACGCATGAATTTTAAACAAAATATTTTGTTTAATCAAATATTCGCATGAGAAAGACAAGACGTTGCGCGAATAGTTCTCAGCAACTGTAACCACTTACATATGATAACATACATTTGATTTGTTCGTACGAACACGCAAGACAAAATTCGCATGCAATGTAACCGCAGCATTATTAGTCAATATTTACTAATTAAATTATATAAACTACAATATACATATGCATATTGGAAAATACAAATTAATTAATGAAATCATATTATTATTGTTATTAGAGTTCAAGACACACTGCGAAACAGAGTTCAAGATTCAAGATATACTTTACATATGGTAGTATAGGCTTTCAACAATTTCTTGTTTCAAAATTCGCATGTGCGAATAACAATTTTATCTAAGTGAAATAATTTTTAAACTAAAATGAGATATGTTTTCTATAAAAATAATATGTTTAAATTATTTTAAAAAATGATTAGGACACAACCCTCGTATGCGTCAATATATTAATATATTTTTATTACTTTATGAGCAATTTTAGGTCTCACACGCGAAATATTTTTACCACGTCAGTTAATGATAAGAACAAACGACAAACAATAGTAACAATTTTATAGATACAAAATGTACAACACTAAAGTAGCGACAGTGAATATAGTAAAACAATATTGACAGTACCAGCGACAGCCTGAAATGAATATTGAGGTAATTGTACGTATTATGTGTAGGACATCTGTTACAGCTTATTGATTAAAACAAATTGAATTAAAGATAAAAACAACGCTATGAAAAAAAAGCATATGTGAAATAGGAGAAACATATCAACACAAATTTAAAAATAGTCTTTCACAGCTGTTTTATTCCAATTTTTGGCACTATTAAAATAATTGCAGTTTTTTAAACGTTACAATTTTTCATTTATTTTTCATTTAAATTCAATTTTAATTCAATCTATTCTCAACCGTAAAATATTTAAGCATAATAAAAAAAAATTAAGATAACAATAGAAAATAGTTGGAACTATAAAACCACTTTGAATGTAAATAAATAATAACATATAAGGCCTGCCCGTATGGTAACGGATGCAAAAATAGTGTAAATAAGTTAAAAATTTAACGAAATGTCATCGAATCATAGAATCAAAGTAACAATCACCACTGAATTGAAATTAAATATCATTAATTCAATGCATAGAATTCAATATAATTTTAAATATATATAGAATAGAAATAGAAACGAAAACACAGCAAATATTATGATCACGAAATCCATTAACTTATTAAATTTAAATCATATACGAGGGCTGCTTTTTATGTCTTGCGCCTTACTCGAAATATTCTACATTATGATCAATATATATTTGCATTCGATTAAACCAATTTTCGAAACACTATGCAGTTTGCCACTATGCAGTTGATATTTCCAAAACTAGGGTTTTGAATGTCTCAACTGTCTGTTCGGGCGTAGAAAAACGCTTGTCACGCATTTTTTTCTTAATGCTTGAGAACAAGAAGAAGTTATTCGGTGCCAACAAGTGTGACGGGAATGTTTTCATCATGAAACGCACAATTGAGGTTAGAAGTGTCCCCGGTAGCTGAAGGACAGTAGTTTCTTACTGGTCAAACTTTTCACTACACCACTACAGAGTAGTCTTACTTGTTTATTATTATTACCATTTTTTAATTCTAAAAAGATTATCAAAAATTATAAATTTAGTTTGTAACGAACTTTATATTTAATTACATTTCACTTCCCCATATATATATATATATATATATATATATATATATATATCTATTTTACTATTCACTTTTGAAATATGTATGGTATTATCTAAATCATTAAAATAAAGTTGGTAAAATTAATGTTAGAGTAAATGAAATAGCATAATGTCAGATTTATTTCACTTTGAGCTATTCATTAACATAAATATTATTATTTAGATACAATTGATATAACTATTCTTTAATTATTAATAAATGTGAAATAAACAAAAACAAAAACAAATACAAATGAAAATTGTGTTGTGCACAGATTTGTGAGACATTTCATATGTGAATGAAAATAATTTAAAATTTACTTGGAGATAAAAATAAATCTCGCTTTTTGTAAACATCACATAAAAATAAAAAACAAATTGTCATAAGATGTGTCAAGGAAGATATCTAACAAAATAAATATGTTTTATGAATAAAAGTCCAATGTTATGTTTATATTATAGTAAAAGAGGAATCTATAATGGATTTATTGAACGCCATTTTAAATATTTCATTTGGTTGTTGAGTATAGGATTAGATCAAATGTCTACAATTAGTTTTCATTTATTTATTTAAAGGAATTTGGACTACTGATTATCTGATACTCAGATAAGTGTTATTAAACCATTGCACTTATCGACGTTGTTGTAGATAGAAGTGGATTAAAACTTGCCCCATGAGACAAAATTCAAAAACGCATACATTTTCTATTTCTTCAATAATAATGATCTCTCAGTTGGTATTTCGCTTATTTAATTAATGTCATATAAATAATACAGATATCGGTAAGACAAACCTAATGTTAAGGTTGAGAAAAACTCTTTACCATTATTCTGTTTTTAACTTTAAAGTGCTATAATTTAGAAACAGATACCTGTATATAGCAAGGTTTTTTTTATTGGACAGTTGACCTATAGTGACTGTGGCTATATTACAATTTCTTTCGCTATATTACAATTTTTTAGGATAAACAGAGGAATACTGCATCGAAATATAAAAAATTTGCAACCAACTGTCAGGCAATAGTTCTTTCGCTTTCGTTCTAGAAATATCAATGCTAATTACGGTAAATGTAGACAAGGTTATGGATGCGGTTCTAGAAGATGACAAGGCTGAGATGACACTATGTGTTCGGTATAATTGCAATAGGTTAATACATTAGTATCTATTACCATCTGCTAAAACAATTAATTTAAATTTTCACTGTCTACAATTACTACGGTTGAAGCAAGAAATCAAAAAGTAGGGTGTGATTTGATGAAGAAGAAAGGTGGTGGTAACACAGAAATAGTGACACTTTTTTTAAAACCTGAAATTTTACAATAAAAAAATATTGATTCTACTCGAAGAATACGAAAGGTGGAAGAAAAAAGGAGCATTATTAGAACAAATTTTTTTTTAAATATATTTATTTAAAAAAATATAAGAATATGACAAATGTTGCTTATCATGATATCAACAAAATTAGATGCATAGACAAGAATTTTTAGAATATTTGTTTATTAAAAGATTTGTTTCGTAAACCATTTTTTTTTTTCAGGTTAAACTCATGAATAAATTATTAACTCCTCTTTATTACTCGTACTTACAGTAGTAATTTGGTAAGTTTCGATCATTAACATATTAAGAAAATTTTTTAAATAGATATAAAATAAATAAAATTGAAACATATTTATATTTGCATATTTGAAAGAATTCTTTTCTTTTCAATATTTTTATGTTTTTGTTATCTAAATTTAAAAATGATTAATTTCAGAATTATGCAATTAATACTAATGTGGGCGTTATTCAATTTGAAAACCCGAAAGGTAATAAATAAATTGATTGTAAATATTTGTCTATTATTTTAATTAATGTTTACATTATATTTATAGTTCATTTTA